AATGCAATAATGTTTATGTTATACAATTTTAACTAATTTACATAATAGGAAAACGTTGACTACTGACATCCAGAGAAACAACAACAATGGACATTAACTTCTACAATCTCTAGAGAACACAAAAATAAATCATTATAATAATAGTGAAATGAAATCATTATTTAGTGAAAATATAAACCACTCGATACAGACAAACCTTTCTCCCATTAATAATATTGACAAACACCTTCTACCCCTCTAGTGCTGACAATTGACATCAAAGAAGTAGGGCAATCCTGTAGCAAGAGGAGACAATGGAAGAAGTAATCAAATGAATGATATTTTTTACTTCGGTGATTTTAAATGGAAGAGGGTCATCAGTCCATTCCTAGTTGTAGGAAATAAGATACCATTGATTTAACTAATGAGTCTCTTGAAAAAATAAAAATAAATAAAGGACCGTAATTGATTATTATTTCTTAAAATATCACTTTCGAGTAATAAGCATAGTTAAACAAATGATTTTTTTTTTCCTTTTGGGGAGGAGGGTTCTCCTGTCTTTTTTTTTTTAATTGAAGTAGTCCGATTATTCCAGAATATAATATTAGAAATATGAGAAAATAAAAATAGTAGGTACGATCAACCAGAATGAGAATGGTCATGATTAGGATTCTTCTGTTCACAAATACTAATCAACTTAAAATATGCCCCATTGATGTGTCAGTTATATTTCTTATATTTTCAGATTTTTTAGCATGTGAGTGAGAAAACAACAAACCTCAGTGGCCATAGTCACTATATCTTTGGGATGAAAATGGCCATGGCTAGTATTAAGAATTATAATTTAATTAAAAAGAAAAAGAACAAAACAATTGTATATAGCAAAATAAAAAATTTGGAACTTTGTTCTCATTGAATCTGAATCATCTTTCTCTATTTTTTTCAAGAGAGTTACTTTCTTATGATCTCTTTCTTTTCGAAGACAACTATTTCATTTATTCAACAGCGCAACACATGATAAGATAATTGGTTTAAGAAGATACATGCAGGACTTGAATTTTTACCAATATAACTAAAATTACTCAATAAACAGAATATATTTCATTTTTTTCTGTATGGAAATACTCAAATGAAGTAATTGAAAAAATCACTAACATGTATAACACTATCTAGGCTCACAAAATAAATGAAAAAAAATTGGCAAGGAATGTTTTGGCCATTTTCATTCTATATTAAACAAAATAACTTAGCAGATACTAATTCAATTATTAACCAAAGGAATCATTATTTCAACAAAAAAAAAGATAGATTAATTTTCAATAGTCCTTTGAATCTTGCTGTCTATTATAGTGATTGTTTTTGACTATTAGAAATTCATTCAATATTTAGTTATTTTCAATGAATCTTCTGTATTTACTTAAAAAGTAAAAATTATCTTGGCTTTAATTTCGTTGATCTGAAATTATTCTTAGACAATCTTTATTTAACAGGTTACCAAGAAGAAAAATCAGTGTATTAGCATAGGTAATGTCCTTATGAATGTCCTTTGAAGTAGGTTCTAAATAAATTAATTAATAAGATTACTGAGTAAGCGATCCAAAGAAAAATTTAGCGAGTGGCAACCACCCACTAAAGTTTAGAATTTAGTTACAGTTGGTTTTCCATTTTCAATAAAATAAATGTTTAATTTATTTGATAATTATAAGTCACTAGTCTATTTATAGAAAAACAGTTGTTTTTTTTTCATTATTAATACTTAAAATCAACTTTATCCCAAATGTTGATATTAACAATTATTAATTGAAATCCAATATATTAAAGGATTACTATTATAATATTAATACAATATTTGTTAATATAATTTATTCAATTGTATCTAGAGTGGTAGAAGAGTAAGTTTGTTAATTACACATTTCATAATATAGAAATCCACTTATAAACTTAAACTTTTTATTAAATAAAACATTAACAATATTTTGTGATTATTTTCTGTTGTTTTCAGAACACAGGGAATATTTTAATTCTAGGCTAAAATAAATTAATGTTGGTAAAGCTAGTAGTGAATCATAATTAATCTGTAATTGAGTCTCAACTAAATAAATAATTAAGATAGTCTCTTGTAATACTAAACAATAATATTTATTATTTTATGATCTTATATTAAGATTTATCTCAGCTTTCTTTCAAGATTATCTGTAACTCTCTTTCCATTTTGGATTGATTTATCTAATTTGAGGTGAAATACTATTAGGCATAATATGAGAAAAGAATATCCCAGTTTTATCCTTATTACGACGCGTTCATCTCTTTCTGACCTGGAATTTGTAGATGACACATGCTGTTTAGAGGCATGCAGGAAAGCTATAAAACTAAGGGGAGCCCAAAGTTCTTGCTTCAAAATAAATGATTCCCAAATAAAACAAATGCAGGTATATAGCAGGAGTCAAGAAAATCTGTATATAGAATAAAAAAAAAACAGAAAATATCAACAAATTCTGTTACCTAGGAAGTATAGTGAACCAGGAAGTGTGAACCTATGGGGATGTATAAAGCAAGATAAAAAAAAGCCATGTAAGCTTTATATCAACTCCAGCCAAAATTCACATTGAGAGGATCAAGAAGGTGATAAAGATTTTTCTCTTCAACATTTCTTTAAGCAAGTAAAACATGGAAAGCTATGCTTCAATAAATGTGAGAGTGTAGTAGCTGAAAACTATTTCCTATGTTTAGCTCTGAAAATGAATCAAACAACAACCGCTTACCTTAGTAATAAAGCTTTGAAAATGAAGACAACTTCAGTACATCCTCAAGAACGATCACCTAACGGAGGAATAGTACCTCCACAGCCAGGGAAGACAAGGAGGGCTGAGATAGATGTGGAAATAAACTCTGAAAAAGGAAGTGCAAATAGCAGGTCAGACATGGAGTGGTTTCAAAGATCTTGCAAATACAGAGAAGGATTATGGTGTTTTATTATAGCCTTATTTCTCACTTCGAGGATTAAGTCAAGTAAGTTTTCGTCACCATATTCTGGACAAAATACAGAAATTGGAAACCAACCTATTTACTATATGTCGGAGGGAAACCAGAAGTGGTGAGGATGCTCTAGAAGAAGCAAATTAAGGTTTTAAAATGCTTCCAAAAATATACAAATGGCAGAAAAATCATTAGATTTTACAAGCTGACATACACTTATTGAAACTACTAAATAACTATGGCTGGGATGATAATGTTCAACCATTGCATTAAAAGTTTCAGAAATTTAAAAACTAATGAGTCCAGTCCTCTGTCATATATAAGCACTAGGAAGTATGGAACACTAGAGTTTGAAAAAACATGAGCATTTGGTATAGGAAATAATCTTGATTACCAATTTATTAGGAGAAGTATTTTAATAATGATAAGATTGAAAAAAGATTAGGTGAGGTGATTACCCATTCATGAATAGCGAGAGAAAAATTCTTACTATTCACTTTACTAAAGAAATTAGGTGAATGAAGTAATAACCAGACAACTTGTCAGTCTCCGATAGGCCTAAAGTGCATTACCCAGATATTGTCCTTCATACAGATACTAGGTCTGCTTCCTCTAAATTTGATCATGTTAAATAATGATGACAAATTTAGTGGTACAGTGAAGAATTGAGCAACATTATTTTTAACAACATTTCAAATATGATTACAAAAAGTAATTAAATTTGTTAATACACCTTGATGAATGTCAAAACATTCAAAGTTCTGAAGGATAAGACTTTTTTTATTACTGAAAACAACTCGACCTGAGGTATGATACCACATCTGGACCACGATTAACTGAATTTATCATGAGTTACATTTAGCTTGGAGAAGGGCATATATCAATATACAAGTCAAAATATGTTTTCATAGCCAATGATACAGTCATAATACAAAATTCTAGTTTTTAAGTCACATATCTTTAACCCAGGAAGAAATATATTTTAGTTATCTGTAAGAACTTCTTAATTGGATATGAGAGGACTGGATAATCAATAGATAGTACTAAGAAGCCAATTCTTCTCAGTGGTATGAAATTGATAAATATTTACAAAGACTGGTCAGACATTCTGTTTTTTTTTTTTGTTTTTTTTGTCCTCCCCTTCCTGGCCTTTAAGGTTATACAGGGTTTTCCCGGGTCAGAGGATGAGGGCGGAGATTTAAAAGACTCCCCTGGTACCGGGACGTGAACTTGTGACTATTTTTTATCAATCATTCATATATCAAGTTGCCGGGCAACAGCGGTGCTGTGCACAAACGTTAGCCCATTCGACCACCCCGCCCACTAAATAACACAGTGGAGTAACCAGCCTTGAACCGGGAACCTTCACCGTTACAGACTTGGATGCTAGACAGTACTAGTGTACTATACAACTCATAGTTGAGTGCAGGTCATACAGACATAAGTTGTTTAATAAGAAAGGTCAATTTTAGGCACCTTTTCATCTCTTATTCCATTGATATATTTAATGCAATTATTTTCCCTTCCCATTTGATGGCCCTCATCAACAGATTTCGTAAAAGAACATTTCTGGAAAGGATAGAAAGATTTTCGTTTTAAAACATAAAAAAAATTTAAGTTTAATTTCTCAAGAAAGTCTAAAAAAGTTTATCATGATTAATTGAGACTTATGTCACATCTGAGGTATATAATCAGTCACTGAAGTTTTCTGGTTTTTATTTGATACTCATAGTACATAGGCCTGTGTAAATAAATATGTCATAATAATGCTATCTATACAACATTAATGTTATATATATGTCAATATTTTAGAATTTTAATCAAAACCGACTTCAGTTGAGATCTCTCCATTAAAACTAAAACAAACAACTATTATTGCATTTAATTATGGCTTACTTCCCTATACTCAAAGACATGGAGACACCTTAACTGCAGTCAAATATAAAACATAAAAAACATCATATACATGTATATATGCACATATTACATTTTTACTTGTCACAGACCTTAGTTAATTTACAATAAATATTGACTTGTTTTAATAGTTGGTTGCAGGAAGTGGTAACACCCAAGGAGGTGATGCCTCCCACGCAGCAGTAGAAGAAGCCAAGGAAGAATTAGTTCCAGGACCGTTAACGAGACTGTTTGTTGTAGCAAACAAAGGTGTAGCTGCCCTCATACAAGACCTAATTCTGGTAAGAGAATCAAGATTAAGATTTATAAGCTACATCTGTTTATAAAATGATGTTTTTAAGTGTAATAGCTACATGCCAAAAGTTTAAAAAAAAAAAAATTTGGAGAAATATATATTTTGGTTTCCACTGTATTGGTAGTTGGTATTATGGAATGCATGGTGCTGAGCTATAGGTTTTTTATAAATTGCATTTTTGTGGTTTGAAGCCATACTGAAATTTCTTTAATCAAATAGCTAATTAGTTATCCTCATGAGGCTTGTCAGGCCTTGTTGAGAACCAGTATATCCTATATTCATTATTACCAATATAGTATTCTTAATGGTATCTGGGCAATAGAAACAAGGAAATATTTTTCTAAATGTTAATGAATGATTGAGTACTTGGAATAAATGTCGTGCGGACTTCTTCATAACTCTAATAACTATCATTTCTACTTATTTTATAATATACTGTAATACAATGGATTAAAATATTTTTCATTGCAAAAATCCATTATATGAAATGATTGATAAGATTTTTTTTAAACTACAGGTCATGTTATAATAACTTTTCAAAATCAAAATCACACATACCTGGAATGATTTTATTATACTTCGTTACTTCAAAAAATAAGAACTCCATTCTCAATATCATAAGTAAAAATTAATCGATTTACCTGAGCCATGACTTAAAAATGATTTGCCACAATATTTTTTATTATTGTTTATTTGGTATGTTATACTCTATAATTGATTAAGCAAGAATGAGATACTGTTTCTTATGTGATTATGATACTTGCTTACTTTAACACAATTTTATTCAAATTTAGCAAAATATTTAAATGTCAGGGAAAGCATTGTATGTAAAGGGATTTTATTTTTCTAGTCATTCACAAAATGGTGTATGTTTATCACCTCTCAACATCAAATCTAGTTTGTTTTTATATATATATATATATATACACACATATATATATATATATATATATACATATATATATATATATATATATATATATATATATATATATATATATATATATATATATATATATATATATACATATAAAGCATTGTCACATTAGAGAAGGGGAAAGAAAATCAAATAATTACAATAATTAATAGGTAATTAAATTATTTTTAATGAAAAAATTATCAATTATATTATTGATACAGTAATTATTTCTAAATTTTCTTCAGTATCTTGTGGAACTCAGGTTTGTTTTTATATTGAGATTTGCAATTATGTTACGATATCATCAATATTCGCATTTAGCAGATTTACATTGTGATTGGAAGATAAGGATACAAAATCATTATTGACTATATCTTGTATATTATTAGATTGTAATGAGGAAATTATATCTTTATCTTTCCAAATTTAGTAAATACATAAAATTTGGAAATGGGTATAGGTTTGTAGATATTAGTTGTGACAAAAAATATCAGTGTATTTGGTTAGTTAATATAGGTATCAAAACTTTTACATAATATCGGTATACAATATGGTATTTGGTTTAGTTTGAGGTTGTAATTATAGATTTGTATGATATGGTATATAAAGGACATTACACTATTTAAAACAAATAAATATATTGTAAATAGAGAATTAAAAAGGTATCTCTACAAGAGTCCATTTATTTATTCTCTTTATATTATTATTAATCTCAGGAATAATTTAATAATAAGGATAACTTTTTGATATATAGAAGGTTTCTGTCTTCTTGTGTCTGTTTCCTTCTTCGAGAAAGTATCATACCCATACCTTTATTTTCATAAAGACTAAATACAAACATCAGCAAGTGTGACAGGGCCAGACTAGCACACTTTTCTGTTGTTAACCTTTTATCACTAATATGTACAAGTATCCTCACTCCTTAGAAAACTGGCTTTGTAAAATCACCATTTATAATTTATAATCACCATAATATAATTTTTAAGTCAGAAATAAAATTTAGTTTATAAAAATGATCTACACGACATATTTTCATCATCATCCACCAGCACTTAGCACTAAGCCCTCCAAATCTGATGTTAAGTTAAACCACTAAGGTGGCTCTTCATGCCCTTTATTTTTAATGATTTCCAAACTCTTAATGACATTATGTTTTGTGAGATTGGGATATGTATGAAACTAATTAGATTTTCTCAAAACATGTAATGGTTCATACACAAGTAGTCTGGATTGTAATACTGGATAACAGGGAAATTAGAATAAGACATGTTTTTTTTATTTTTTATTTTATCAATTATAATATCTCTTTAAACTCTAAATTATATTACATTTAATATTACAGTTTAAAATAATTTTTTTTAATTCTCTTGTGGCCCACCATACCTCCACTGGGTTTAATATCCTGATGGAAGTACAGGAGAATCCTGCTTATCTGTAGACACAAGTAGGTCAAATAACTAAGCAGTTATCTTTATTTTCAACAGTTAAAAACTCTGATTTATTTTGTATTAAATATTTTACATAATATTCTAATTCAAATTAAATTGTTTGTTACAAGTATCGATTCAATAGTAATCTGTCATAAAATCAATTTTACATTAATCTCAGAAAATTTCTTATTGAGAGAAAAGTTGAATTGAATCGGGATATGGTTGTTTGCTCATTGGTGTTTGAGGAAACGTGGTTTATTATACAGATTACCATTCTATTCTAGCCAGAAAGTGGTCAAAATTTGTTCTTTGGGTCTTCCACTTGTTATTAGAAGATACCGGGAGGTACTGCTTCAGTATCATTACTTACCACCAGAGACACAACTTAGCACAAAAATATTGCAAAATCAAACTGCACCAGTAGCTTGTTCATTTGAGTTCGAGATGCACTATTCACGACATCACTAAAAATTAAATTAATTTTTAAAAACTGTGATGGGGTTTTTTTTTTAGAAAATAGATCGACGGTTGCGTAAAGCAGTTCATTGGTGGCAACGGCGGGCAGCCACCGCTGCCTTAGTACTGTACTGCAAACGCCAGGAGGCTCTCCAACTTATTTTACCAGTAATGTACTGGTAGGTCATTTATGAGTATCAAGTAATCTAATCAACTTGTATTGGTACTGTAACTTGTAGTGTCTTCATTCAAATAGCTTGATTTCCAATTCTAATTAATACTTATACAATTAATGTTTCAACATATAAATGGAGTGCAAAACAAGTACATGATGATTCTTTTTTTTTTTTTTTGTTACATCTTCTAAATTAATAATGTTTTATTGAAAGTTATCAAAAATATGTAAATATATATTTTTTTTTTTCATTAAATAAACAAAATATTTTTTGATTTAGAATTTGCATAGTCTTTTTGCAATAACAAAATATACGCTCATAATCATAAAGGTTAACTTAATAATGTAAATAGATTACACTTCCTGTACTTTAGAGTTAAAAAATTATCGGACTCGCCATTCCATATGACACACAATAATGCTACACAATTACTTGGTTATTGGAATAGTAATAGTAATAATATTTATTCTGGGACGAATCCCTTTAAAATAATTAACAAGAACAGAAATATGAGATTTTGGGCCTCAGATATATAGAAATGTATTTACAAAGTAAACTAATAAGTATAATGGGAAAAACAAGTTCTCTTCTGACTTAAATCGTTTAAGAAGAAAAATAAATAAATGGAAGAACAATGAAATGAAAATAAACTGATAATATATATATACATATTTAAAGAAATTTCTATTTACAATGTTATAGGGAATGGATGGAAAGGAAGTTATTGAATAGACGGGATTTAAAAGTAGGGAGAGTATTGGAATGGCGGATGTCAGGAGAGATGGAGTTCCATAGGGATGAGGTTCGAATAATAAAAGATTTATCGAAAGCAGCAGTTCGGTGGACCATTATATATAAATCTGAAGTCCGGAATCGGGTATTGCGGGGATGAACAGGGGATTTAAATTGAAGGAGCTCGGAGATGTATGAAGGTCGGCGGGAGTGAATTGCTTGGTAGAGAAAGGATGCCAGGAAATACTTACTGCAGTAGGAAGGATAAAGCCACTTCAACTCTTCATAAAAACAGAAAACAGGAGAGCCCCTTGGGGTTCCGAAGATGAATCGTACAAAACAATTTATGAAATGTTTTAGTTTCGCCTCGAGATCCCCAGAAGCACCTCCATATACCGTGCAGCAATAGTCAATGTGGGGAAATATTATGGAGGTGACCAAGAGTCTACGTGTTTCAAAAGGAAAAAGGTGACGGAGGCTATTTAAGTGTTTTAAGGTGGAAAATGTACGTCGGGAAATATTGGATACATGATTTTTTCCAACAAAGGGTTTGGTCAAAGATTATTCCAAGGTTTTTGATAGTGGGATAAAATTTGATGGGATTATCATGTAGGAACGGGGTTGGAATGTTAGGAACAGTTTTAAGGAGGTGATTGGAGGCTATTAGGATTGCATTTGTCTTTTCCACATTCAACTTCAGCTTGTTAGCTCCTACCCAGTCACATATTCTATTTAAGTCTTCTTGAAGCTTTTTTGTGGTTCCTAATAGGTCAGAAAGGGTTAGCTAATGGTACAAAAATTTCCAACCAGACCGACAACATGAACACTAGCCACAAAATATTAGATCCACCACAAGCCCATAAATTCTGCCCCTCAAAGATAAATGTAATGACAAAAACAATTACTAAGTTACCCTCTATAAAAAATATATAAAATTTTAACAACTGACCATTTGTCAATTAGCGAAGAAAAGGTTTTTTTTTTTTAATCCTTGGTTTGTAATAAACCATGGAGATTCAAATTGATAAATTACTGGGTATATTATTGGGAACTCAACTAAAAATATTATTTTAGATATGGGTAAGTAGTCGACTGATCAATTATCAAGATATTAAATATTATTTATAAGCAACGCATTGCAACTGTCCCCTGAATATCATAGTAAATATGTTTTGTTTTGTTTTTTGTAAAAAGTGATTATTAACAATTGATTTTACTCCCGTGAAATAGAAACCAGAAAGAGGTCTCAGTGGAAAGTTTTTTAAGTTCTGAAGGGTAAATTTCTTACATTTTTTAGCTCAACAATTTTTTTGGACTCTGTTAAGGACATGCTTGGCCATATTTATGCATATATTGAAACTTTTGTTTCTCATTATATTTTGTAAAAATCAAACAAAAAAAAAGTTTCAGAATCAACACTGTAGAGGTCAACATTGTTAGGATGTTTTTAAAAATGCTCTGAATTGTGAAGATTAACACTGAAAAACATTGTTACATCAGAACTATTAACATAATTAATGCACAAATACATATTTGATTACAAGCCTCTTTATTAACCTGAAAAAATTATTATTTTCGATAAACCCTAATTCGTTATCACCAAAGAGACACTATTACTCAATAACTGTAACATGTTGCAAAAATACGAAATTAAAGTTACCCAACACTTCTTAGTTCTTATTACACCAATATTTACACTTAAACACAATTTAATCAATAACACAATTTAACCCTTCTGATTAAGTAATTTTCGATTGATATAGAACCATGGATAGAGGTTCAATTTCTCGGTTTGCCACAGATTTTCCTCAGGAAGTTAAATCCATTTCTTGTGAATATAACTTAGAAGCTATTATAATTATAAAGTAACAGTTTGGCCTCAAAAATTGAATTACTGCTTTTAGATATTATTTTTAGCTGATGATAAAATATGCCATTACACCAACTACCAATATGGCACCAATTGATCCAGTAGTCTCGGTCTCTTTATGAGTATGTCAAACCATGAAGCTATTAATATACTATTTATATGTATAATATAATAAATATTTCATTCACTATATTATTTAATTCAACTAATAATTAAGCAATATTTGCTTATGTGTTACTAAAACTATAAAATACCTTGGTAGATAGAGTGCAAAATCGCATGGAACTAAATCAAAACTAATATTTTTTTTCCTTACCCTTTGATATTTTATATCTAGAATATGTGTAAATAAAATCAGAGAGTAAGAAAAAAAAGTTTCAATTTAGTGCCATTTGAGTTCATCTTTGGTCTACCATATTTCTTTGAGTGAGCTAGAAAACTGATGAAGCATTGATAAAATAAGCAAAATAATTTGAGTCAGCTAAATTATTTTCCTCACATTAGATTATGAATAAATTATAGAAATAATTATTTGACTGTTTCCTATATAAAATTTATAGCTCAAATGGAGTCTGACTGTGAAATGGGATGATATCAAAGTTAAATTATTTATTTAAGAATTAATTTTTCATATATAAATGAAGGGCAGAACTCTGAAATCAGTTTAGTCCATTTGTAATTTTTTAAAATCAGGTTTCGGTATAAATCATCATGAAGTAATCTCGTACCAACACTATTAATTAAAAAATAAATAGATATGAAACTGGAAAATGACCTCTTGTAACATATGAATGAGTTGTTTGAGGGTTGAATATTTCTGGGTTGATCTTCCTTGGTCTTAGGACTCTCATGATTTAAAGCTTTACAACTTTCTTTTATAAGTTTACCTAAAAACAAAAGAGGCTAATTCGCCCAGAAATATCCAAGGCCTCAACAGGACAGGATCTATAACTTTTAGGTATTGACCTAGCATATAAAAAAATGTTTGTTTTTTCTATATTGTTCCTCTAATGGCAAATCTTGTACTAATCTATACAAAATTGATTCTGTAATAAATAACTTATTTTTTTAATTATCCTATTTCACTTCCAGACCCTATACTTTATAGTTAATGGTTTAATCATCCCTTTTTATTATGTTACATTATTACGAATGATGAAAAGTTTTTGAGTAGCACATTTTATTAATATTTTTTTTTTTTCAGCGCTTGGCACAAACAAGCGAAAGAATAGTCAACTTCAAGGCTAAACTGATTACATCTATTATATAAACGAAGCCAGGCTCAATTTCTCTTCTTCCTTTTGACGTGGCCTATGTTTTCAAACCGACATAACTTTGAATGTATAATAAATAAATTATTATGGTTTCCAATCAACATTTGTACTCTCAAAAAATTGTATTTTATTATGAATGTGGTTTGTTTGAGATAATCTATTTATTTATTAATTCAAATTACAACTCAACTCAAAAATAATCACTACTCCGAAATCACTATTTTGTATTTAAAATCATAAAAATGAATATTTGAAACAGATTTTGTCGCCAATAATTAGTAGTTATTAATATTAGTAATGTACTTAAAAAACTTTATTTACAAAAATACAAATGTCAGCTAAACATCAATACAACATTTATTTTGTATTAACTGCTTGTAAAGTGTTTTTATAAATTGTAATGGTTTTTTATAAATTATTAAAATGAGTCATATGTATGAAGAAGCATGACTTATTTTATGCAACAGAAACAAAATATGTTTTATGACTATAAATATTTTTTTTAAATTATTTTGCTAGGAGTAATAATATCAGCCAAATATTATACACATGTAAATACAAAAACAAATCATAAAAAAAAATATTGTTTTATAAAACCAATGGTGTAAATAATTTATTATTGATATTTTTTGAGTTATGTTGTATTTTGTTTAAACTCTCTCATTATATGTTAAATAATGTATTACTCTATAAGCTAAATTTGGAGAAATGAAAAATCAAGGTTATTATTTTTATTTTATTTTATAGATATGGGTATTTTACTCAAGAACATTTCAACATTATCTATTTGCAAACAAAGAATGTTTACTGTGCTGCATAAGAATAATTATTATATAAATAAATGCTCATATATAAGTCATTAGCTAAAAAATTATTTAAGACTAGTTTAAGTATATGGGTTAATATTTTTTTATAAATTTAATCATAAAATTTGAAAAAAAAAAATGCTCTCTGTAATTTATATGTTAAAAGCATTATTGTAATTTATTGTAAAAATATAATGTAATTGATTTCAAATTCAATGATTAAGTTTATTAAATGAAAACTGTAAATGTTAATATAACTGTTTGTTGAATCACTTGGTCAAATATCAATTACGCATTCAGACACACACCTTTTTGTATGTATGTAAAATATCATATATGTTTTTTATAGCTCTGTCAATATTACATAAATGAATGGTTTGTACATATGTAAGTAGTAAGGTTCCTTTAGGATTGTAAAAGATTCCAAATATACATTTGTCATTTGACGAAATTAATTAATATTTTCAGATTTCCTCAATCTTTTCCTTTAAATTGATACATAGATTGAAAAGAAACAGATGTGTAGGGATGACTCAGACCCAATCTTTATTTTGATGATGTATTTTGTAGAAATATGTTCACAAAAGGCATTTCTATTTAAAAACAATCCATTACTGAACAGACCCCTACGTGTATAATCAAGCTGTTAAGGAAATCCTTAAGTAAAGAAACACTCATTTGTTTTTCCCATAAAATGAAAAAAAAAAAAAGGGGTATTACCCAAAAAAGTAGAAAACAAAATGTAAAAATCTGAAAAAGGTCTGGCGGTTTGGGTCGGAAGTGATCCAAAATGGTATTTCGGTTATATTGCTATATTGAAGCTCAAGGAAAAACTAAAATTATAAAGTAATTGTTGATTGTTGGTTGAGTGTAATGAGTAATTGAAGAGAAGATTGTGTGGGATGTTCAGTAAAAATAAATAAATTATATTAATTTTTACTTTTTGCGGACGTTTCAGTCTAAACTTCAGACCTTCATCTGACCAGCCCTGAATTTTGGACCGAAACGTCGGCAAAAAATAAAAATTAATATAATTTCTTTATTTTTAAATCTTTTTTTTACTGAATACTCCAACCAATCTTCTTTTCAACTAAAATTATGAAGGTTACACCACTTATCTGCTAATTAAAATGTCCTAACACAGATTGGTAGGGTTGCTAGACAGCTCATTTAACATTAATCTGTTACAAAATAATATATTAATCTCTTACAAAGAGAAGGTAGAATTAGGCTGAGAAGGAAATACCTAAGGGCTGGATTTGAGCCCCACCAAACCTCTTGGCACTAGCGGATCCAGGATTTAATTTTGGGGGGGCTTCAGCCCGAAAGCTTTTTTTTTCATAAAAATAACGATAATTACTTAGGAAAAAAAGAAAGAAACTAACTATCTGTATGAAATGGTGTTTAAGTGATTCCTAAAGCCCTTTTAATATTAATCACACGAACAATAACACTTTAAGAGATACTTTTTAATATTTTGTTCGATAAAACATGGTTATATTTTTCCATTTTGGGGGGGGCTTCAGCCCGAAAGCCCCTCCCTCTCCCTCCCCCGTAGATCCGCCCGTGCCTCTTGGGATTCAAAAGAAAAAACAACCAAAGTGATGGAAATTCATAAAAGTATGAAATGAAAAAATAGTGTTATTCTGGGACTACAGTCTCCTAAGAATAATAACAATGTTACAAATTTATGGTTCTTAATCTAGCTTAGAAGATTACAAAATACAAACTAAAAATAATGTCATTTTGGTAATTATTTGCATTTAAAGTTTTCCTAAAAAGATATTGCAACAGTCGCTCTTGTATTAAGCACCATGTTGATGTAGGACTTACAAGATAAGGAAGAACCTTGAACCTAGCAAGGGGGAGCATGACGAGATTACGCTTAAAAAGACGGAAGTCTTTCCTATCTAAATAACTTCAAGCAGCTGCTTAGTCAAATAGCCATAACCTTGAATGTTTTTAACATTTTGATTTATTTGAGATTGTCCAAATCGCATCCACTAATTCCTAAGTTAAATGAGAATGTTGCCCCAATAAGTATAATTAGTAGCATAAGACTTTACAAAATTAAAAGATTTCAACCCCCATCTCATTGATCCAGGGAGGTTCTGTAAAAATTTAATTTTGAATAGTCAACTAGATAAAAGCATAGATCGGTTTTTGTAACTTAATTTTACATGTCCCTCTTGTAATTACTGAAAAAACCTGTATGCCTAATGATTATTATCCTATGTACTTTATATTTATTCTTTTATTAATAAAAGAAGCCAGGGGGAAAATCATATGTAAACAAGACAAAGTCAACATGTAGAAAAATATGTCTGATTTTGAGAAAAAGGTAAACTATAAGACAATTTAATTGAAGAGAAAGATGGTTGGGTAAAATAGTAAAAATAAATAATTGTATTTATTTTTACTATTTTATTTTGACTGATCATCTTAAACATCCTTCTCTTCAATTATTCACTAGAGTCAACCATCATACCCACATTTTAAAAGATAATTTATATCCATAAAATTTTTCTGTTCCAAGAGAAATATTAAAATCTGATTTTCTTTAGTGAACAAAAAGATTTAATTATTTTATATTATCTTTTGTACCTTTCCAAATCGAGAAATCAAAGATAATTTTTTAAGCTCAAAATGAAATTAAGCTTATTAACATTTTATCACAGATGCAAAATTCAATCATACTTTTTCATGGGGTTACTATTTCGAATTGAATTACATACAATTTGAAACCTGCATGGAACAAAAAATGCATAAATTTGAGCTGCAATAGCATTCAATTGATAAAGAATATATATAAGATTGAGATTGCACTCTTTAGATAATTAAAAAAATGCATATATTTAGCTAAAAACTTGAGTTAACAATGTGTCTTGGAAGTGTGTTAGTGACTGGGGGTTTGTCTTGAATCCACCTTAGCATGATGTATATTGCTACCAAACACGGCACAAAGTGTCTTTCAGCTCTACTGTAAACTGTAATTCTATTGATAACATCCATTAATAAAAGTTAATAAAATAAATTCTAAAATAAAAACTTTTATTCAGTAACAACAGAGTGAGAGAAAATAGGGAAGGTATCTCTTGGATGGAAGTTCTGAAGCTAGAAACACAAGCTAGGCATTAGGATGCTATTATCCCCATTCAAGTGATCTAACCCCTACTCCACCACTTTTCTTTAATATTAATTATCATTGCAAATGTAAATAAGTAAAATTTTAGACTTTTTTTGTTTTTATTGTTATAATCGATATATAAAAATTGAAAATTCATACCTCTATATAATTGAAAGTTATATTTTTAAGCCAGTTTTACTTTTTCTTGAAATTACTTCAAATTTCAGTTAAAATAATGAGAATAGTATTTCTACAAGATAATTCATGGATTATTTTTTTAAGAAAACAAGAGGTTCACATACATGCAGGCCAAATAAAGTTGATCCAAAAGTCTGAGAACTTGCTTTGAAGTATTAAGAAAGCTATGCCCATAGAATAGCCATTTTCAGGAAGAACAAATAGCCATTACTTAGAGAAAATATCTACAATTCTCTACAAAAATGACTATATCCAAAACTTTGAAATTTGATTGAACTCAGTTTCGGGTATACATTAACTGTTAAAAGGGTCAATACTCTTCACTCATGTGAATTTCAAAATATAGACATTGGCCCTTTCTGCTTCAAAATGCAGATATATAATTGTTTTTTACTTATTTTCTATTCTATAACTACTAATTTTTTCTTAATTCATATTTTATATATTCAATTATTCAAGCATGTGCTCATTTTAGAATAATTTAAACAAAAACATTACTTGGTTTTTATTGTTTATTTATTTGATCCACTTATTGTAAAGCTATCAGTATGCGTCCAAAAAGTGCCCTGCGTGTCACTCGAGCTTTTGCATCATTGCGGACATGCCTCAGATTGATCTATTGGCAGATGACCTCAGCCGGATTTTGCAAAGAAAATGAGAAGAGCCAGTGCTCACTGGGCTACTTTAAAAAAAGAAGAATGAAATCATACTCTTGAAGGTAGCAGACGCTGGAATGCCTCATCTTCTGGAAGATGGACCCAACTTCTGATTCTCAATATATCAACATGGATATCCCAGAAATATGGGCAGGTAGACTATATATAACCCCACCCAACTTCTTCTATGGGTATGGTAATGGAAAATTGGAGTGCTGAAGCAGACTATGCAGAGCAAATCGGCAGAAGGCTCAGAGCACAGGAGCAAGAAAGGAGAGGTCAGGTAATGGCTTAGCTTAAATAACATGTTCAGAGAAGAGGTAGCCCTTCTGCTTCTCCCCCTCCCCCACGAAGTAATGCTAGACAGCAATTTTTACCATTCCGTGGGATGGTAAAGAAAAATTGGGAGGTTTTTTTTTTTTTTTAGTGAGTAGGAATTTCACATTGTTGTGTGACTTTTGTTTGTTGCATTTCGTCTTATGAAAAATTTTTCCCCTACTCAAACAAAACAAAAAAAATAATTAAAAGACCATTTCATGAGACTTGGTTATTTGGGCTCAGAAGATCTTCAAAATGTTTATTTCCGTTGAAAACTGAGATACAAAAGATCGCAAAACTTTCCCTTACTATATATCTCAGATATATATATATATATAAGTGAAAGTAAAAATACATACTGCAGCCACATCTTCATTTGTTATTTCAATTAATTAAAAAAACTGCTCAAAATTTATGAATTTAT